GCATGATTTTTGCACAGATTGGAGTGTATCGGGTGTGTTCATGGCAAAAAACACATTTCGTGATTCGCGCGGTGAACTTTTGTCAAATAATGTCAATATTGGCATATTTTGGCCCACACGAGTGCGATGTTTTTGACCGGAATGGAAATGTTGAAAAAGCACCAAAGCATGATTTTTGGACATATTGGAGTGTATTGGGTGCGTTCGTGGCAAAAACTCACTTCGTGATTCGCGCGGCGAACTTTTGTCAATTAATGCCAATGTTGGCACACGAGGGTGCAATTTTTTGACAGGAATTAAAAAGTTCAAAAAAGGACAAAACATGATTTTTGGACATAGTGGAGTGTATTGGGTGCGTTCGTGGCAAAAACTCACTTCGTTATTTGCGCGACGAACTTTTGTCAATTAATGCCAATATTGGTATATATTTGCCCACACAGTTGCGATGTTTTTGACCGGAATGAAAAAGTTTAAAAAGCCCCAAGACATGATTTTTGCACATATTGGAGTGTGTTGGGTGCGTTCGTGGAAAAAACTCACTTCGTGATTCGCGCGGTGAACTTTTGTCACTTAATGCCAATGTTGGCACATGAGGGTGCGATGTTTTTGACCGGAATCAAAAAGTTCAAAAAACGCAAAAACATGATATTTGGACATATTGGAGTGTATTGGGTGCATTCATGGCGAAAACTCACTTCGTGATTCGGTCGGCGAACTTTTATCAATTAATGCCAATATTGGCACACGAGGGTGCGATGTTTTCTACTGGAATCAAAAAGTTCAAAAACCGCCAAGACATGATTTTTGGACATATTGGAGTGTATTGGGTGCATTCATGGCAAAAACTCACTTCGTGATTCGCGCGGCAAACTTTTATCAATTAATGCCAATATTTGCACACGAGTGTGCGATGTTTTCTACTGGAATCAAAAAGTTCAAAAAACGCCAAAACATTATTTTTGGACATGTTGGAGTGTATCGGGTGTGCTCGTGGCAAAAACACATTTCGTGATTCGCGCGGCGAACTTTTGACAAATAATGTCAATATTGGCATATATTGGCCCACACGGGTGCGATGTTTTTGACCGGAATGAAAATGTTCAAAAAGCACCGAAACATGATTTTTCGACATATTGGAGTGTATTGGGTGTATTGGGTGCATTCATGGCAAAAACTCACTTCGTGATTCGGTCGGCGAACTTTTATCAATTAATGCCAATATTGGCACACGAGGGTGCGATGTTTTCTACTGGAATCAAAAAGTTCAAAAACCGCCAAAACATGATTTTTGGATATATTGGAGTGTATTGGGTGCATTCATGGCAAAAACTCACTTCGTGATTCGCGCGGCGAACTTTTATCAATTAATGCCAATATTTGCACACGAGTGTGCGATGTTTTCTACTGGAATCAAAAAGTTCAAAAAACGCCAAAACATGATTTTTGGACATATTGGAGTGTATTGGGTGCATTCATAGCAAAAACTCACTTCGTGATTCGCGCGGCGAACTTTTGTCAATTAATGCCAATATTGGCATACGAGGGTGCGACGTTTTCTACCGGAATCAAAAAGTTCAAAAAACGCCAAAACATGATTTTTGGACTTGTTGGAGTGTATCGGGTGTGTTCGTGGCAAAAACACATTTCGTGATTCGCGCGGCGAACTTTTGACAAATAATGTCAATATTGGCATATATTGGCCCACACGGGTGCGATGTTTTTGACCGGAATGAAAATGTTCAAACAGCACCAAAGCATGATTTTTGGACATAGTGGAGTGTATTGGGTGCGTTCGTGGCAAAAACTCACTTTCGTGATTCGCGCGGCGAACTTTTGTCAATTAATGCCAATGTTGGCACACGAGGGTGCGATGTTTTTGACCGGAATCAAAATGTTCAAAAAACGCCAAAACATTATTTTTGGACATATTGGCATATTTTGGCCCACACAGGTGCGATTTTTTTTTGACCGGAATGAAAATTTTAAAAAAGCGCCAAAACACGATTTTTGGACATATTGGAGTGTATTGGGTTCGTTCGTGGCAAAAACTCACTTCGTAATTCGTGCGGCGAACTTTTCTCAATTAATGCCAATATTGGCATTTTTTGGCCCACACGGGTGCGATGATTTTGACCGGAATGAAAATGTTTAAAAAGCACCAAAACATGATTTTTGGACATATTGGAGTGTATTGGGTGCATTCGTGGCAAAAACTCACTTCGTGGTTCGTGCGGCGAACTTGTCAATTAATGCCAATATTGGTATATTTTGGCCCACACGGGTGCGATGTTTTTGACCGGAATGAAAAAGTTCGAAAAGCGCAAAAACATGATTTTTGGACATATTAGAGTGTATTGGGTGCGTTCGTGGCAAAAACTCACTTCTTGATTCGTGCGGCGTACTTTTGTCAATTAATACCAATATTGGCTTATTCTGGCCCGCACGGGTGCGATGTTTTTGACCGGAATGAAAAAGTTCAAAAAGCACCAAAACATGATTTTTGGACATATTGGAGTGTATTGGGTGTGTTCGTGGCAAAAACTCACTTCGTGATTCGCGCGGCGTACTTTTGTCAGTTAATGCCAATATAGGCATATTCTGGCCCGCACGGGTGCAATGTTTTTGACTGAAATGAAAAAGTTCAAAAAGCACCAAGACATGATTTTTGGACATATTGGAGTGTATTGGATGTGTTCGTGGCAAAAACTCACTTGGTGATTCGCGCGGTGTACTTTTGTCAGTTAATGCCAATATTGGCATATTTTGGCCCGTACGGGTGCGATGTTTTTAACTGGAGTGAAAAAGTTCAAAAAGCACCAAGACATGATTTTTGGACATATTGGAGTGTATTGGATGTGTTCGTGGCAAAAACTCACTTGGTGATTCGCGCGGCGAACTTTTGTCACTTAATGCCAATATTGGCATATTTTCGTCCACACGGGTGCGATGTTTTTGACCGGAATGAAAAAGTTCAAAAAGCACCAAAACATGATTTTTGGACATATTGGAGTGTATTGGGTGCGTTCATGGCAAAAACTCACTTCGTGATTCGCGCGGCGAAATTTTGTCAATTAATTCCAATGTTGGCATATTTTGGCCCACACGGTTGCGATGTTTTTGACCGGAATGAAAAAGTTCAGAAAGCGACAAAACATGATTTTTGGACATATTGGAGTGTATTGGGTGTGTTCGTGGCAAAAACTCACTTCGTGATTCGTGCGGCGAACTCTTGTCAAATAATGCCAATATTGGCATATTTTGGCCCGCACAGGTGCGATGTTTTTGACCGGAATGAAAAAGTTCAAAAAGCATCAAAACATGATTTTTGGACATATTGGAGTGTATTGGGTGTGTTCGTGGCAAAAACTCACTTCGTGAATTGCGCGACGAAATTTTGTCAATTAATGCCAATATTGCTATATTTTGGCACACACGGGTGCGTTTTTTTTTGTACCGGAATGAAAAGTTCGAAAAGCACCAAAACATGATTTTTGGACATTTTGGATTGTATTGGGTGCGTTCGTGGCAAAAACTCACTTCGTGATTCGCGCGGCGAACTTTTGTTTATTAATGCGAATATTGGCACACGAGGGTGCGATGTTTTTGACCATAATCAAAAAGTTTAAAAAACGCCAAAACATGATTTTTGGACCTATTGGAGTGTATTGGGTGTGTTCGTGGCAAAAACTCACTACGTGATTCGTGCGGTGAACTTTTATCAATTAATGCCAATATTGGCACATGAGGGTGCGATGTTTTTGACCGGAATCAAAAAGTTCAAAAAACGCCAAAACTTGATTTTTCGACATATTGGATATGAAGTGGTTTGTACAAGTAATGCATTGGAACATTGTTTTCATTTTTTAGCTGTAAGAAATTGGAGAGGGTTCAAGTGTTCAACACGGTTACTCCATGTGCTTGTTGTTTTGTAGTTGTGATGGGATAATTATCCTTGTGTCATTTTTCACTTGACAAATGAAATTAAATGTGCCTGCAAATATCGGATGATAGTTATTGACAAACGAACTAATATGAAAATAAGTATAATTAGCATCTCTTTTTGGTTGTGTTGATGTCTTTCAGGCGGCGCGCAAAGGCGCGCCCCATCATCTAGTATGTTTTAATCCTGTCACAACACATGGTGGTAGAATAATTTGAGCTAATTTTGAGAGCGCAGTAGTAATTAAAGATGTAAAAGCCAGGGATAAAACCTAGGTATCTATTGTAAGCAAAAACACCATAGATAAATGAATATGTATACATGAGGGTAAATTTTGAACAGAGAAACATGGCATGTAATATTTTGAAGGAAACAGGCAGCAGAGGGAGTTTGAAGTGAAAAAAGGGAAATCTACCAAAATTCGCACAGAAATCAAAAGTGCAAACCCTGCAATAACCTAATTTGTATTTCACATTATGAATAGTAGAGCACATATATGACAACATTAAAATAATGGCCAGCACTGCTGCACTGGTATATGGATAATGGTTAGAATATTTGCAGAACATTAAGAACTCCATCTTCTATATGTGCGCTTGAAATGAAAAACCTTCAACATGACAAAATAGTTAACCTTTAATCTAGTACAGATCAATTACCAAAATATTTGATTTTTACTGTCTAGACTGATTCGAGTTCCTTAAAAAGCTAAGATGGTGCACTGCTTGATTGCTGACTCAGGCTAAGCTATTTTGGTCACTTTCCCAACTCATCTCTCTCGTTTTTTTTTACGTGCAATGAGTTTTTTGCAATATATATATATATATATATATATATATATATATATATATATATATATATATATATATATATATATATATATATATATATATATATATATATATATATATTATATATAAAGTTGTTTTAAAAAATTATATTAATTCATTCTTCGAGTTTTTTTAGCGAATACAATCATGCGTTAATACATACATCATTTTGTTTGCCAGAGACAACTCCTTCCGAATGCAGCCTCAGTGACTCTAGTAGTCTAGTTTCATACTCCAATTGTTTCTTGGGTGAAACCATAAAAGAGGCATACAAGGCAAGAAACCAACACAACAGTAGTAGAGCTCATAAAAAACAACACAGCAAAACAATATGCCAAGACATTTGAATGAATTGGAGAATAAGACAATATAGAGGAGGGGCTGCAAGATGTTACCATGAAACTGATCTTGCTAATCTGGCAATCCCCGAGTAGACCTGCTTTGTGGCTGACCATGTCGTTAATTTACTTCCACTGCCTCACAAAGCGTGGGTGCCACTATGGCTGCAATAGTCATCGTCGTCCCTTGGGAGCAGGGACAGCTGGGCTCTGCTAACGGCGCTGGCACCCCTTGCAGCGCCGAAGCCTGCAATACTAGCCGATATTCGTCAGCACAAGAGGACCATGCGAGCAGCCCATATTCGTGGAGTTCGACAGTAGAACAACTTCATGCAGTCCTGCACCTAGGGATGAACACGGAGATGAGCAAGCTGACTAATTATGTTTCAATTAATCATGAAAACCATAAAAAGAAAACCACGCTGCAAATATGAAACAAAACATACATATGCTAAACGTAGAAGTATCTAGTGGCATGCTTATGTTATGTTTCCAGGGATCCTGGGGGTCCCTGGTAAATTATCAAATTCTAGCTAAATTACAGCATGTTAACTACAATATCGATAAATAGTTACATGATTAGTATGTATTGGACTCTTGGTATTTTTTTTGTTCAGGGTACACCACTGAAAATATCTATTAGCACAATGCAAGCAGGTGGAAACATCACCGTAGTACATGATGACCAACAACCATGGTAGTATGTGAAAGCATCATTGAGAAGATCAGAAGAGGCACCTTTGGTCTCCTCGAATTAATATTAAGGATTGACGAGGATCCTCAAGCAATCATGTGGTCTCCTCGACAATATTAGGTTATGAATTACATACATTTCTACTACATGTATTAAGGATTTCTTTATCTCTAAGTAGTCTCCTTAAATTGGAATATGATTGACCTACAGTCTCTATCTATAAATCGCAATGTCATTTTTATCCCCTCTGTCTTATATAAAATTCTAAATACTTTCTGCAACATCTTAAAAACTAAGCACTTTCTTCCCTACCATCTTAAAGTACTATATATTACATATTGATTATCCTCTGAAACAAAATTATGTAACTATTGCTTTTCTCAATTTCATGGCAGGATAAGCGATGTTCCAGGGATGATATGAATCTTTCTTAGGTACAATAGCACAACACTTAAGATCTTTATGAAAAAATTTCATCCTAGAATATATATATGAAGGCAAGTTCAGAGTCATAGTGAGATAATTTTATATGAGTTCTTATAATAAATTACAAGGTGAGATATATAAACATGCCACTAATCTAGTTTAGTGTTGTCAAAAAAAATCTTACAAAAAGGAAATGGAAGAAAAGGGTAGTGAACTGACACATTGTATAATGAATAGGTAAATTGATCGCCAATAAATTCTAGAATCAAGAATGGGCGCTAGATATTCATGATCATGTAAGATCAATGTGTGTTTTGATTCTTATTCTGTGATGAACAATTGGCATCTGTGATTATTGGTTTTGATATTTGGAGATTATCGTTGAAGTGGTTTTGGAGATAATCAATTTTCAGCTGATGATCGGATTCACTCTTATTTTATGTGACCGGTCCGACCGGGTGGAGGTTGCCGGTCGGACCGGAGATATGTGTGCGGTCTGACCGGCCAGGCCCACGGTCTGACCGGCCGACGCTGTGTTGGTTTCGGTTTCGGGTTGGTTCTTTGGATATCCGTGATTGTTTCATGGTTATGGCTTCTAGATGGATACTATACGTATGTAATACTGTTGTTTGCTAACAATGAGTCAAGTTGGGGATAGCTTGGTCTTGGAATATGGTTTCTTTGTTTGTTTCATGTGTAGGTGACTCGATGCCTCGGGAGAGTATTTGCGGTGATGGACCGGGAGTTGGTTTGGTGGTAAGACGATGTCCGTGGTGGTCAGATATCATGCGGGATACTAAGGCTAGAGTTGATGCACATGGTTGGTGAAGATTCCATATGGCATACGATGGAGGTATTGTGTGCGTATGGGATGCGGAGTCGAATTTGGAAGGAGTCTAAATTTGGTACGATTGGTTATGTTAAGTTTGTGTCTTGTACTAGAAGGTTTTCTAAGGTGTTTAGGACTCTTAGTATGAGTTTGGTTCGTGGCTTTAGGCTGCCTACCTCATGTATAAATAGAGGGGGAGCGTGAGGCTTCCCGGTATCGATTTTGTATCGCTTTTGGAGAGCAATTGAGTTGCTAGTTTAGCTAGGGTTTCGAGTTTAGTCGAGATTTTTGTAAGGAGTGCTGTTGGTGCAGTTTGTAAACACAGCGAGAAGCAATAAAGTTGTCATCTACTTTGAGAGTTCTTCGATTTGTGTTTCACCGGGTTTCGACGGTCTAACCGGCGGCACACCGGCGGTCAGACCGGCAGCATCGCGACGGTCCGACCGGCGGGCACACGGCGGTCAGACTGGCGGCGATAGGAGTCGGCAGCAGGCATCTCGGCGGTTCGACCGGAGTTCGATCTCGGTCAGACCGACATTCATCAGGCGGTTCGACCAGCGCAACACCTTCAGTCAGACCGCGATCCATCGAATTTGAGGGTAACTTTTATTTCCGCTAAAAGTTTTGGTTTTTGGGTATATCAACCATTCACCCCCCCCTCTGGTTGGCTTAGTTCTTGTGATTCGATCCTACAAGTGGTATCAGAGCCTTGTTTTCTTTTTTGGATTTTTATCGATCTAGAGTTTTTGCCATGGCTACTCCCGCTAGGTTTTCAACTAAGCCTCATGTTTTCAATGGAACCGATTTTTCTCATTGGTGTAGTAGGATGCAATCTTATATTATGGCTGAAGATTATGATATTTGGAAAAAAGTTTCTCATCCTTATGTGATTCCTGAAGCTATTAATACTGCTGTTGAAAAAACTGCTTTTGAACAAAATAGCAAAGCTCGCAATATTCTTTTGAGTGGGATTTCTCGTTCGAATTATGATCGTGTTGCTCATCTTCAAACTGCTCATGAGATTTGGATTGCTTTGAGTAATTTTCATCAAGGAACAAATAATATTAACGAACTTCGTCGTGATCTTTTCAAAAAGGAGTATATTAAATTTGAGATGAAACCTAGAGAAGCTTTGGATGACTATCTTTCTCGGTTTAATAAAATTTTGAGTGATCTTAGATCTGTTGATTCTTCTTATGATGCTAATTATCCACAATCTGAGATTTCTCGTCACTTTTTGAATGGTCTTGACATGTCTATTTGGGAGATGAAAGTTACATCTATTCAGGAGTCTGTTAACATGTCTACTTTGACCTTGGATTCGCTTTACACAAAATTGAAAACTCATGAGATGAATATTCTTACTCGTAAAGTTGATTCTAAGTCTAGTGCTTTGGTTTTTTCTTCAACTTCTTTGGATGTTGGTGCTTCTTCATCGAAGTCTTCTGTTCTTGCTTTATTTAATGCCATGTCCGATGATCAACTCAAACAGTTCGAGGAGGAGGACTTGGTTTTGTTATCTAACAAATTTTCTCGAGCTATGAAAAATGTTAGGAACAGGAAAAGAGGAGAACCGAATCGTTGTTTTGAGTGTGGAGCACTTGATCATCTTCGCTCGCATTGTCCTAAGCTTGGGAGAGGAAAGAAGGAAGATGATGGTAGAGTCAAAGATGATGACGTGAATAAGAAGAAGAACATGAAGGAGAAGGAGAAGAAGAAGCATTGTATTCAGTGGTTAATCCAAGAAATTATAAAAGCTTTTGATGAATCGGAAGATGAAGATGAGAGCAAAGGTAAGCAAGTTGATCTAGCTTTTATTGCTCGTAATGCAAGTTCTGATGTTGATGAATCTAATGATGATAATGAAGAAAAGCTTAGTTATGATCAATTAGAATATGCTGCTTATAAATTTGCTAAGAAACTTCAAACATGTTCTATTGTGCTTGATGAGAAGGATCATACTATTGAGATTCTTAATGCTGAAATTGCTAGATTAAAATCTTTGATTCCTAATGATGATAATTGTCAATCTTGTGAAGTTTTATTTTCTGAAATTAATGCTTTGCGAGATGTCAATTCTGTTAATTCCAAGAAATTAGAATTTGAGATTGAAAAATCTAAAAAGTTGGAGTCTTCTTTTGCTCTTGGATTTGCTTTACATGCTCGTGTTGTTGATGAGTTGATTTTGACAAAGAACGTTTTGAAAAAATACAAAGATGCTTTTTGTGCAAGTTCTTTGGTCAATGCTTCATGTGCAAATAAGGCAAAACAAAACAATGGTGTTTTGATTTCTCAAGATTGTTCAAAGTGTGTTTTGAATGAGTTGAAGTTGAAAGATGCTTTAGAGCGTGTTAAACACATGGAAGAAATTATTAAACAAGATGAGGTGTTTTCATGCTCAACTTGTAGAAAACAAAAAGGTCTTTTGGATGCTTGTAAAAATTGTGCTATTCTTACTCAGGAGGTTTCTTATTTGAAAAGTTCTTTGCAAAGATTTTCTGATGGTAAAAAGAACCTCAACATGATTCTTGATCAATCTAACGTTAGCACACACAATCGTGGTTTAGGTTTTGATTCTTATTCAAAGGACCTTGATGTCGCCTAGAGGGGGAAATGCGGAAGCTAAAACAAAACAGGGTCGGATTGTCTGATATCAGGTCGGATAGTCTTATGCGATCAGATAGTCTGAACTGAGATCAGACTATCTGACCTGCACAACAACAATACAAACAAAAGAACAACATAAGAGATCTAGATTCAATCCACAAGCAAAGAGGTGAGCTCGACGAACAACAATATTAGCATAGCACAAAGCAATGGAACAAGAAGGTAAAGAGAGTGAGGATATCACCGAGGTTTATGCGGCGATGTATTTCCTGGAGTTCAAATCCTTGAGGGGGTTCTAGTCTCCGTTGAGGGGCTCGCAAAGAGTCTGGTCTTTTTCAACCCTATCCTCGTAAGGTTGCACAAATGCACTACTCCTTCCACTAAGGGTATCTCTTTCCTTACGGAGGCGAGATCGGGCCTTCACAAACTTCTCTTAGCCAACCACACGTAGATCGGTGGCCCAAGAACGACACCTAGCCGTCTAGGAGTCCTCAACCTCCAAGAGTAATAAACACCACACAACTCTTGGACAAATCTTAGTGCTCAAGATCAAAAGGAACACACACTAAACTCCCAAACTCTAAATCCACCCACAAAGATCCAAGTCACAAAGAACAAGGGGGATTTGAGATAGAGAGGGAGAGAGCTCAAAGATCCAAAGCACTTAGCACAAAGCTCAACCCAAAACAAGATTTGAATGAAATGAGTTTGGGCAACCCTAGAAAAGGGTTGGTGGGGGGTTTATATAGATCCCCCAAAATGTGACCATTGGAGGGGAATCTTTCAGCCCACGTCGGATAGTCCGATACAAGATCGGGTAGTCCGATATTTTAAACCTCCAAGGCAACGAGAAACAGAGAACGAAGTTCCATGAAATTTTGGACTTTCCGAGACATCGGACTATCTGATGTTAAATCGGAGTGTCTGATATTTTAGAAGCAAAAACTTCGTCCTCAAATAGAGACTCAAGTTCCATGAAATTTCGGAGTCTTTGTGTCATCGGACTATCTAATCCGACATCGGATACTCCGATACTTAGAAAAACTCACTCGATAGGATTTTTCAAATCGAAACAGAGATAGAAGTTCTGTGAAAAATCGGATAGTCCGATACATCGGATAGTCTGATTTCAAATCGGATAGTCTGATGTTGCTCAAGTAAAAATGCAATAACTTTTTACTCCGAACTCCGATTTCAAAGATCTTGGACTCTATGGAAAGCTAGTTTCGTGGGCTATCAAACCCAACATAAAACATGGTCCAAAACCTTCAAGAGATGTTGAAAAACTTGCATAGAAACCCGGTGTAAGTGTTGTGACAAGTGAAACAACTCGGGATTGAAATTTTGGCTTAGGTTTTTCAACTCACACAAAGATGAAGCATTTTGAGCACTAGTATTCAACCAATTATATGCATGTGGTATCCCTCTTAATAGTACGGCCTCCTAAACTCAAATTTGAAAGGCAAAGTTATACCAATAGGAGTACCTTCACACCATATTGTTTCTTCACTTGTAGGGTTACCAACGTCAAGGTCATTTGATCATCGGGAAGATCTCATCTTCTTGATCTTTGACATTTCGTCTTCCATTTCTCAAATGATTGATGTGGATAATACATGGCTTCAAATGGCCTCTCACAGTTCATCACGACACAGTCTTCACTCGCCCTTCACCACCGGTTTCGGTTCGTCGGCGCCAAGCCCCTTGCTTGCCCTTCACCACTGCATGGTCCATCACAACTGAGCGTCGCTTGCGCTTCACCGTCTTGCCATAGGTAGTCACTTCATACCCGCATCTTCAATATCTTCTCTTTAATTCTCATCCATCGATAAGTCCATTTCCTAGCTTCTTCATCGGACTAATCACTTGCTTATACACTCAATAAGTGCATTAGTCCCTTAATCATTTGTCATCAATAAACCAAAACCCACTAGGGGCATAGATGCTCTTTCACTTATGCTCATCATGCTAGACATCCTCCTATTGTTTTGGGTGTTGCTAGGAGGGGTGAAATTTTGATTGAAACTGAGCCTAAGAACACTGTGTTTAAATCTGCTGGCATCATGTCTTCTTTGAATGCATCTTCTTCGAAATCAAATGTTGTGAATGCAAAATCTTCTGTTGATGCAAAACCATTGATTTCAAAACCATCTACTTCACAAACTAGTCGTGAGAAGTACACTTGTTCTCTTTGTGGAAAAGATGGACATTTGGTTGGTTTTTGTTTTAGACTTGCCCATAAACAGAAAAAGGAAAGAGAAATTGCTTTTGCAAAACGATGTTGGCGAAAATCGGGTTTTAATTCGAGGACCACGGTTAGACCGACACTGACTAGTCGGTCAGACCGGCCAGCGGTCAGACCACAGTTGAACCGGCGGTTAGACCGGTTGCCAGGCCCGGTCAGACCGCAGGTACAGCGGCGGTCAGACTGGCCTCGGGGCAATTTTGCGCGAAATTCAAATCAGACTTTTGTGAAGCAAAAAGGTAATTTTTCAGGTAAGTCTGATTCTGATTTTGTCAGTGCATATGTACCTACTGGTTCTACTGGTCGTGTGACTCAGTGTTGGATTCCAAAATTTCTTATTTCTAACCCCAACACGGAGGCCTCGACACCTTCTCATTCGTAGGTATTTTTGGCGGCATACTCCCCATGAGTGTTCCATTTTAAGATGACAATTGCTTCTCAAGGTAACATCAATTTACTTTTGGATTGACATATATTTGGTTTTACTTTCTTAATTATTAGCTTTTCATATGCTAGTGTTTGAGGTAGTAGTTTTTGTTAATACAAGTGTATACATGTCAATTCATGAGAATCTTGGTGATATCATTGGCAATTGGATGTCTTTTTCAAAATCTTTGATTTCTTCTTGATTTTTGTTCGAGGAGAATTGAGGTTATTTTGAGGGGGAGTTAGTGTTTTTTCATAAATCCTTTTGGCATGCGTTGAGGGGGAGTTTGTACCTCATGGTTTTATCAAGCAAAAATATGACAATGAAAAAATTGATAAAAGAGATATTTGTTCTATACATATGGTATTTCCTTATGCATGCTAGCAATACTTTGAAGATTTATTTGTCTCTAGAATAGCTTGTATGTATTCTAGTCTTTTCATGAGATTTAGATATTGCTTTTAAGTGAGATGATGCATGACACTAATTCTTTTACTTGAATTAAGAAAATATGCAATATTGATGCTAGCATATGGTTTGATTTATAAATGCTCTATATATATGCTTTATTGAATTGTTATTCCTCAAAATTGTTTTAATTGCTCATTGTGAAAAAGAGAATAAAAAATATGAAAAAATGAATACCGAATCCTTGGAAACAGTCTTAACGACAAGGACGTATTCGATGTGAGCAAAATAATGGGTGCCGAATCCCTAGAAACAGTATTGACGACAGGGACATACCCGGAATAAAAGAGAAAAATATGAGCAAAAAGGCTTAAAAAATTCAAAAATTCTCTTGGTTATTTTGTGCTAAAGTTTATTTGAGAAAGAGTGATAAATGCAATAGGTATATGTGTTTAGTGTTTATTTTTCAACCTATGTGCTTGTTAAGATGTTGCATTATAAATCGTATGAAATCATGAATTTTGATTGTTGATTCAAGCTTAATTGTAAAATCTTTGGTTCATGGTTATACTTTAATGCATGCTTGCTATAATATAGATGGGTTCATCTTCTTTTTATTGCAACACATGACATGATATGCTATATGTATGCTAAGCTCTTATACATTAATGAACATAATTCCTATGCTTGATGAAATCATTGTCAAAAGGGGGAGAAGTAATATGAAAATTTTTAGTTCAATTGGGAATTTCTTTCTTTTAAAAAGGGGAAGAAGTTTTCTTTTGGATTTTTGAGAGTTTTTGAGAAAAGCATGTTTTTGGGAATTTCTTTCTTTTAAAAAGGGGGAGAAGTTTTCTTTTGGATTTTTGAGCACAATGTGTACGTTTGTACGAAGTGTGCTTTTTACCACTTTTGTTTTTATTTTTCCAAACACCAAACATTTTTGATGAGGTTTGCCAATGTGTTCATTAAGGGGGAGATTGTAAGATCAAAGTGTGTTTTGATTCTTATTCTGTGATGAACAATTGGCATCTGTGATTATTGGTTTTGATATTTGGAGATTATCGTTGAAGTGGTTTTGGAGATAATCAATTTTCAGCTGATGATCGGATTCACTCTTATTTTATGTGACTGGTCCGACCGGGTGGAGCTTGCCAGTCAGACCGGAGATATGTGTGCGGTCAGACCGGCCAGGCCCGCGGTCTGACCGGCCGACGCTGTGTTGGTTTTGGTTTTGGGTTGGTTCTTTGGATATCCGTGATTGTTTCATGGTTATGGCTTCTAGATGGATACTATACGTATATAATACTGTTGTTTGCTAACAATGAGTCAAGTTGGGGATAGCTTGGTCTTGGAATATGGTTTCTTTGTTTGTTTCATGTGTAGGTGACTCGATGCCTCGGGAGAGTATTTGCGGTGATGGACCGGGAGTCGGCTTGGTGGTAAGACGATGTCCGTGGTGGTCAGATATCATGCGGGATACTAAGGCTAGAGTTGATGCACGTGGTTGGTGAAGATTCCATATGGCATACGATGGAGGTATTGTGTGCGTATGGGATGCGGAGTCGAATTTGGAAGGAGTCCAAATTTGGTACGATTGGTTATGTTAAGTTTGTGTCTTGTACTAGAGGGTTTCCTAAGGTGTTTAGGACTCTTAGTATGAGTTTGGTTCGTGGCTTTAGGCTGCCTACCTCATGTATAAATAGAGGGGGAGCGTGAGGCTTCCCGGTATCGATTTTGTATCGCTTTTGGAGAGCAATTGAGTTGCTAGTTTAGCTAGGGTTTCGAGTTTAGTCGAGATTTTTGTAAGGAGTGTTGTTGGTGCACTTTGCAAACACAGAGAGAAGCAATAAAGTTGTCATCTACTTTGAGAGTTCTTCGATTTGTGTTTCACCGGGTTTCGACGGTCTAACCGGCGGTCAGACCGGCAGCATCGCGGCGGTCCGACCTGCGGGCACACGGCGGTCAGACTGGTGGTGACAGGAGTCGGCAGCAGGCATCTCGTCGGTTCGACCGGAGTTCGATCTCGGTCAGACCGACGTTCATCAGGCGGTTCGACCAGCGCAACACCTTCGGTTAGACCGCAATCCATCGAATTTGAGAGTAACTTTTATTTCCGCTATAAGTTTTGGTTTTTGGGTATATCAACCATTCACCCCCCTCTGGTTGGCTTAGTTCTTGTGATTCGATCCTACAGATCAAATACCCATATTTTTGCATACTCCTGACTTTAGATTCTAGGTCATATGAAATAATTGGCTAGTAATATGATTCTTGAATATTGATAGGTAAATTAGACGCTGCAGCAATAAACAAAAACAAAGCAGATGCACACAATCATAAATCATTACTGCAACTCAAAACATTCTACATATATATGTCCCCATTGAAGCATATCCCACATATGTTTGAGAGCACCTACCAATAGCAGAACTGTAGTAGTACCTGTAAGCTCCTCAAGTTATACATTTCCTGGCTCTTGAGACGTGCACCGGCAACAGAAAACATGACGCTGACCGCAGTGCATGGCTAACTGAAAATGGTAGGAAAAAAATGTCAACAGAAATTTAGCTAATCCAATTTTCAAAATCCCAAATGGGCCAATCGGTAGCTCTGAACAAATGCATGCAACAGTTGTACCACTTTGTATGGCAAGCGAGAACACTGAATATTTTCTCATTGGACCATGGTAGTGCCAGGTACGAAAAGTAAACACTTATGAACTCAATATCCCCTTGAATGTCATCTAGCTTCCTACCTGTGGTGCTGTATGCATCGATCTTAGGTTCCCTGTTGATTGTTTCCAATATCTTGTATACTGCAGCCTGGCCTCCTGCAAACTCTCTCATGCTTGGAGATGCCTGACCTGAAGCTCTGGTGAATGCAACAGTAAAGTTTCAGCTTCTGGAACTAATAAGTAGTTACTGTTAGTTTAATTGAAAAGAAATATCATATACAATCATGGAAAACATACAATAGCACATACCGACTGTAGTAGCTAATTCATTGACTATTGAAAACTCATATACTGAAATTGTCTGATAAGGTTCTTTTTGAAGGAAAAAGAGATGAGAAGAAGCAATTTTTTAATAAAAGAAGACGCTATGAAAATACAATTGACGTAAATCCAAAAGGCCTGTGTTGCATTATTGCCTTTGTCGAATGAGATAATTCAACTTTTGTGACAGTGAATTGGTATTGTGTTGACACCAAAATATAAAGTGGATATGCTCTTAGTTTGTTGCTGCTAACTGAACAATCCCTTATTAGCAGGATGTTCACGAAAACAAAATATACGTGCACACAGTTGGTTTAGCAGGATGTTAACGAAAACAATCCCTTATTACTGTCAAGTGTCAAACAGCAGCTAACTTACCTTTTTTTTGTCCTGGCCGAACATGTCTAAATCAGCACAAAATCAAAATACTCCAATGGGTAAAGACCATTTTATCAGTCACCAAATAACTAACTGAAAATTCTATGATGATATTATTTTTTTCAATCCTAAAAACTTTTATACTCATAATATTTCTTACAAGGAAACCATTTGTCAATCACGAGAACAATGCAACTGAATTGATTAGGAGGATGGCCGAGAAACTTACAGCAAGCCGATGAGCACGACGAATATGACATTCATCACTTGTGCTCCGGTGCATGTATATCCCTTCTCCAGGATCAGCTTGGCATCATAAGAAATCCCCAGGGAGTAGCCACAGAAGAGGAGCACTATGACCGTGCCCATGGCCATGCCGGCTGCGACGTTCTCCGGAACGTTGGAGCTGTACGTGCTCTTCATGACGCAACCTGCATTTGTCGGACCGAATGTTCAGAGACATGGCGACATGTACACAAAGTTAACTGAAGGGAAGACTGAATGTTTACTGTTCTGCTGCGCGAAGGCCACTGCGAAGCTGCTCAGGAATGTGACAAGAAGATGGACAAAATTACCGATCTTGTCACACATTCTCAAGACGACCGACGACCTCACCGGTGTCATCGTCGTCACCTCCCAACCGGATCGGAATCACAAGCCCATATCGTCCCCGTCACTGCCCCACCGCTTGCCGCCGTCTCCGCACCATCTAGACACAGGCAGAGAAATCCACCTAGGAGAAAGACGAGAGGGAAAGAAGAGGCGAGGGGACAAAGAGGAGACGACAACCTGTCAAGCGAGAAGGAGAGATCTTTCTTTTAGACAACGGCAGCGATTTCGTGGCGGCGTTGTGGTGGCCGGTGGAGTGGAAGAGGAAGAAGCGGCGCCAGCAAGAGAAACCGACGAGAAATCCGCGCGGGGAAGACGAGACGGGGCGCGGGCTCGAGCCGAGGTCGTCGTGACTTGTGTCGCATCAGGTGCTGCTGCGTGCACGCCACCTCTTCTCTCGTTTCCTTCTTCACTAAGCCACAGACCCGGCCACTCCGATGGCGGCGTGCGGCTTGATCCCTAGTCAAACAGTACAAGCAAAAACTTAAACTCCCTTATATTCTGTAGCAGTAGCTATCTACAAATAATTAAACCTCTCTATTGCAACGGGGTTAGTATCAAGTATCACAAGTATGTTTGTCACCCATGAGTCATGACTAGTGTCATGTTGTGTTACCATTAAGCCCATTTTGAACTATGGATTTTACCGAAAGCTGTAAAATTCCAAGGGAAATGTATGTATGCAATAATGCAAGTGCGAGTATGCAACACACCTGCGGAGTGTACTTCATATGCTTCAGTTTTGGAAGGGTCCCAAAAAAGCATTCCTTGTTGGGTCATGGACGCAGCCTTATTCCCTCCAGAGAACTTTGACATTGATCCTAGTATCCTACGGCCCAAAAAGCCACATGACCAAACTGCCCCTCCCCCCAGCACGATGACCGTCACCGACCCCCTTAACTAACTCCCCAGTGTACCTCCACGCCGTGGGAGCTGAGCTGATCTGATGATCCCTTCTCACTTCCAAGTACTACACGAATGTAACAACTTGATGTGACCTCAGTTCTTCTCCCATCTCCTCTTCTCCCCACCTCGCGCGCGCCGCCCTGCCCAGATGTTTCTCCACTCCCTCTTGATGCAAAACATGGCCAAGAACACAACAACGCAGCAGCAGCAGACGACGAGGTACGCAGTTAGGCGCACCTTGCATGTGGCATGATGATGATTGCTTCGGTTCTACGTGTTTGGCTGACGTGATGGTTCCATGCGCAGGTCGTCGAAAGAGGCGGGCGGCGGCGCCGCGGCGAGGTCGAGAGGGGTGTCGTCGAAGAAGTCGCCGTGGTACCAGCGGGCGGTTGAGGTGTTGCTGCTGATATGGAAGCAGCCGACGGGGGCGGGGACGGGGACGGGGACGACGACGAAGGCCGCGGCGGCGGCGGGGGTGACGGGCGGGAAGGCGGCGGCGTCGGGGATGGGGGCTCGGCTGAGGAAGTCGTCGTCGCTGAACGTGGCGGCGTTGTTCACGCGGGTCTGCCTGTGCGCGCCCATCTCGATGTACAACGAGCAGGCGCTCTACTTCCAGGCGGGCGACGTGACGCCACACCGGAGCTACAGCTACCCGCGGGCGTCCTCGGCGTCGGCGTCCGGGTGCGGCGGAGGCGGAAACAGCAACCCGCTGGTGGCACCGCCGCCCGCGGCCGAGCAGAGGGCGCTGATGAGGACGCCTGGCCCCGGCGGGGAGAGCGCGAGGCGGCCGGTGTTCCGCGGCAAGTCGCTGACGGACGACATCCTGATGCGGCGGTTCGTCGTCGACGAGGAGGCCACGCGGCGGCGCAACGAGATGGAGGTGATCCGGAGCCGCCACGCGGCCGCCGCCAAGCGGCGGCGCCTCGGCCCCAGCCCGCTCCGCCGGATGGCCCTAGCGGAATCGGAGTCGGAGGCCGACGACGATGAGGAGGAGACGACGACGACGGAAGCAGCGGAGCCGACGTCACGGTCTCACGGAGGAAACCCCAAGCCGTACCAGTCGCAGCGTAACACTTCTGGGGGTCCCTGTCTCCCCTCTCAATTTTTTTTCCTTCCCTTACACTTCTTCTCCCGTTCCTTGTGCTCTTGTCGTTGTCTCGCAATGATGCAAGAAGAAAACTCCGAGCAACACGCGCGTTCTCTTCGACTCTTCCATATCGACCGATGCGGACGTCCCGCCCAGCCCAGCGCCCGCCCCGCACGCAAAAGTACGCGCGCGTCGTGGAGAAACCCGGCGAAACCGACGTGTTTCCCCCGCGCGGCGTATGATTAGGGATCGAGCAATATATCACTAGCTCTATCCATTCATCTGCTCTACTAGCTATATGCTATACACCAGGAAACCGGCCGGATATCCATGGCTAGCTAGCTGCATATGCATGCATGTATCATGTGCGCGCGCGTAGTATACGTATATGTGCATATGCGTTTTCTTTTGTAGAAAAGTAATTATAAAATATAAGCACGATGCATGTACTGGTGTCCGCATATCTGGAAAAGGTAGCTATACATGAAACAAAATAACTAACGATGATATAGATATATAGATAGAGATAGAGATAGATAGATAGTCATGACGTGTACAAGCATATGTATAAGTATATATACATGTATGCCGCATGCAATGGCAACTTGGTGGGTTCGATCAAATTAAAATGAAGACAAATTAGCTAATTAGAAATGCTACTTAATTAATTAATTGCCATGCATGGCTGTAGAAATCAAGTGATACGCACTATTAGAAAAAGCATTATCGCAAGCGGCCAAAAAGGGTCTTCGCAAGCGGGGCGGCCGTCCGCCTGTAAACAAACGACTATGAAGATCGCCGGTCTTCTCATGCGGAGCGGCCGTCCGCCTGCGAAGATAATTTTCGCAGGCGGATTTTCGCAGGCGGACATTGGCTAGTCCGGTTCGCCTGCGAAAATAGAAAGCGGCCGCCTGCAAAAAAAAATAGCCGCCTGCGAAAATAGGTAGGAAATTTTGAAATTTAATAATAATTTGTCCGTTAATAGAAATTCTTGTAGGTAGATTATTATGTACATATATTGGAAGATTATCAAGCATTTGGTATTGAGAAATCTACATATATTGTATAACTCAAAAGTGTTACCAAAATATATATATTACAATATTTTTTACATTGTGACTTCAAATACGCCATCTAGTCATATTATGGCATAGCAGTGTTCCACTCCAGAAGATCCTTGAATTCGTCACTTGTCGCTAGGGCACCATCTGGGTCGAAGAAATCTCCTTTCACATGACAGCACTCAGAGTGGATGAAGTGGCACAGATCATGCTGGACATTTGTGATGCCTGTATCGTCAAAGCTTGTTCGACGTTCTAATCTTGGCAACTGCATGCATTGAAGATAAACAATATATTAATATCATAAACATGTGAAGCGGTCTAGTACATAGTATAGAGACTTACATCCTCTGCGTTAACCCTATACCTCCCATTAACCCTAAGGAATTCCCACGCGTAATACTCGCAGAGGACAGTTCCTCTAGGTTGCTTGTGACACTTCAGGACATATCATAGAAAAAAAAAGATAAATTTTGCAATTAGTGAAACAATTGGAATACATTAAGTGAGTGTAGTATTACCGGCCAATAGGTACGTACTAGCAGCTCCTCTCTTATTCGGGTCTGTTCTCCACCCTTGAACTTGTAGTATTGGTACACACTGTATGGATGTCGTACCATTTCACATTAAGAAGGATACTTATTTATAATACATTCATATAAAAATGCAAGAATCATAATCACTTACTACTGTAAGATTGTTAGAAATTCTTTGTATGACTGGTGTTTGTAATCGAGAGGGTCCAAGACTACCACGGTTCCGTCTTTAGGGTGGATGAGTAAACAGATATAATGATCGCTACATATTAACAACAGCATAGTTAGTTAGTACCAGCTAAAATAAGACATATGTGTAGAAGATAAATGTACCGGACTTACTCAAAATTATGAGCGGCCATGACGACTCTCTTATTTTGAAAGTGCAAGAAGGCTCGTTCAATGTACTGTGCGACAGTAATCAACTTCTCCTTGTGCAGGCCCTTCTGATATTCAGCTATCTCTTTTGGAGTCTTGCCCTTCAGCTGGTCTGACCCTGGTGCTAGCCTCACGGTATGCTGTGTTTGACAGATCTGAGTTGGATCCAAGAAGCCAATAGGTTCTTTTTTCTTCTTAGCATCCATGTTTTGCATCCTACAGAAGAAGTTTGTTAGTAACAATCACATGAATTTGTATTGTACATATTTTTCATGTAATTAATTAAAACTCATACTCACATGCACCAAACACCGACATAGTTGACGTCCATCTTATCCCGACGATATATGGCGTGGAGATCTGACAAATCTAGCCATATGTAACCTTCGGCACTGAAACAATCTGCCGATGATCGAGCTGTTATATTGCCCAAGCCTTTCTTGTTGGCTTCCATGTAGAAGGTTTGTAATCTTCTCATCTCCTATGGTCCTTCGTTTAGTGCCCAATCCGGCAAGAGTGCTTTCCCGTGTTCGTACTTTTCCGGGCAATCATCAGTTAGCCAGTATGTTGGCCCGGCTAGTTCAGCGGCCTTCTGGGGGTCATCATCTTTGTGTTTGGCACGTTCCTTACCCCCTCTGAAGACGGTTACCATGAACTTCTCCTTGTTCTCATATTTGGACTTGTAGTCGTGGCTCCTAAGCACTCTAGGCACCTCAGAACTGGTAGTGGCCTTCTCAGGGACCGGGGTCTCTTGCACCTCGGGGTCTTTCGCAGGAGAAGGGTCTTCAAATATTTCTGGCTCTGTACCGTCCCATTGCAATCCTGGTACTTCTTCTATATCTGTCCCGACTGATACCACAAATTGCACCTCTGGTTCTGCCACTTTAATCTCTATTTGGACATCCGGCACTGCAATCTCCATGGGCACCTCCGTCACTTCAATCTCCGGTGGCACTTCCGGCACTGGATTTTCCTTATGCATCTCGGGTTCCTCCGCCTTATCAGGATTAACTCCATCAGTACTCAGGGAAACCTAATGTTCCGTGAGTCTTTAGCAAACTCTCTATACTGAGCATCAAAGTTTATCCACTGATGAGCATCTGTCGGGTGTCGAATCATCCCATCCTTCTTGCGCCCTTTTTCATGCCAAAGCATTAGTTCCGCATCTCACGGATTTGAGTATATCCGTTTAATGCGGTCTTTGACAGGAAGGTACCACATCACAAGCTGCGGGATTTTTCTCTGAGTTCCCTCAGTTTTGTCAGACGGTTCTAGGCCAGTATTGCTATTCGATTTGTACCGGCTAGCACCGCATGTTGGACATTCATCTAAAGAAACGTACTCTTTCCTGTACAGTATGTAGTGATTAACGCACGCATGAATCTTTTCCACACCAAGTGAAAGGGGGCATATGAGTTTCTTCGCTTGATATGTGCTGGATGGTAGTGAGTTAGGCCTCGGGAGCATTTTATGCAGAAGTTCTAAAAGACTGTCGAAACTGGTATCAGACCATCCATGTCTCGCCTTTAACCTCATAAGTTCAAGAACTGACCGTAATGTTGTGAACTCACTGTCACAGCCCTTCGACTCATCGTACAGAACTTCCTTAGCTGCCTTCTATAAAGCTTCAAAGTTATTTAAACCTCTAGCCGATCCCATCAGCACCTCGGGTTCTGCATGACGTAACATTTCCTCTAGATCGATTTTGTCCTCAACAGAACCATCTAGGGATGGCAATTTTACCCATGGGTCCGGATATCCGTGGATACCCGACCCGATGGACATGGACATGGGTGTGACTTTTTACCCATGTGCACGCCCGCCCGAGACCCGAAGATGTTATGGGTAATAGGCGAGTTTCATTTTTTACAAGTGGGTAACCCATGCCCGACCCGATACATATGTATTAGCTAATTTTGACTCATTTCTTAATTCTTATACCATTTCTCTCTGTTCATTTGTGATGCTTACTGATACTAAGTTGTGATGTAATTCAAATTATTGTTGATAACCGATAATTTGGTAAATTATTGATTTTATTTCTCTTTTTTAAATTACATATCTTTCAACTTATTATTCATGTGAGATCAATTGGGTACCCGCCGGACATACCCGCGCCCGCCGGGCATGGGTACGGGCACGGAGTTTTGCCCGCTAACTCTAGTGGGTAGGGTTTGGGTGGACAATGTCGGGCATGGTTTTGCTCTACCCGTGCCCGACCCGACCCATTGCCATCCCTAGGACCATCATCGTGCACCATGTCTTCAACTTATGTCGGAACTACATTTTTAGGCCCGTCCACTTGTTCTTCGCCATGACGTGTCCACATTTTGTACCTGTCCATAAATCCATGAGTTACTAAGTGCTCCTTCACTTTATAAGCATCTTCCCAGGCTATTCCATTGTTACAGTCAGCACATGGACAAATTATCTTCCTCATATTATTCTTCTCAGCGTGTGCCTTCGCAATACCAATAAATTTAGACACTTCATCTCTATATGGAGACAAAAACCTTAGCCAATGATACATCTATTCCCGACTTTCCATATCTCTAAAAAAAAAGAACATAAAATATTTGCACTATTAATACCAAATTGCAGGGTTTATTGAAAAAACATATTGACATTAAAAATTTTATTCTCTCTCTCTCATATATATATATATATATATATATATATATATATATATATATATATATATAAATTTAGACACTTCATCTCTATATGGAGACAAAAACCTTAGCCAATGATACATCTATTCCCGACTTTCCATATCTCTAAAAAAAAAGAACATAAAATATTTGCACTATTAATACCAAATTGCAGGGTTTATTGAAAAAACATATTGACATTAAAAATTTTATTCTCTCTCTCTCATATATATATATATATATATATATATATATATATATATATATATATATATATATATATATATATATATATATATATATATGTGACAAGATCTAGAACTAGAAGGTGGATGTGATAGCAAAATAAAAAAAATTGAGAATTTATGTTACCACATTAAACCACTACAGCAAGAGGCATCAAGTATTAACATACATCTAATATCAACATATCAAAACAAAGTAAATTAAAAAATATGGAGTTTTTCCTTCACAATTTTACATGCATAAATCCATCACAAATTGAGGTCTAAAAGCTTAAAAAATTGCATATCTAGTGTGGAAATAAGTAGATCTAAGCACCATAGGAAAATCCCCCGAAGATTTGAAGTTCAAAACCTCCCCCCCCCCCTATATTTAAGTCACTTTAGGAGAGAGAAACTTCGGGGAGAATAAACAGGGCTCGGAGAGGAAGATGACTATATAGGGGCATCTTTGCAGGCGTACCGCCCCCTCCACCCCAGATACAATTTTTGCCGGCAGGGTTTTGGCTCTGAAGGACATGCCCATCTGCGAAAATTGAACCCCTACTACGCTGAAAATGAGTTTTCTAGTATTGACGAGAGATGGCTGCACAGATCGATGTGTCCCCTAGCTTGCGATAGCTAGCTTAATGGTAACCAGCCTCGTTATGGATTCAAGCTAGGATCATCGATCACCCTGCAGCAGCTAGATTATTAATTATACGAGTGATAATATTTCTTCATCGCTTGCATGCATATGCATGAGCAGCGTGATCAATCTACATCCACTTGATTGACATCTGTCATCTGTATATATTAGATGACATACGATATACATCTTTCGAAAGATTTTTATAATCGTATCACACAGATTTTTAATCTTTATATTAAAATCCGATAGATATAATAAAAAGCAAAAAGCAATTAAGAAACACCATAATGAACATTAAATTACCATATCCTCAAGAAAAAGACCAAATCCAATAAAAAATTTAAAATTTACATGTGAAGATTCAAAAATTACAGTGTAACTTACAAAAGTTACAGTGTAAGTTTCATAAATTACACTGTAACTTACAAGAAAATGCACTGTAAATTTGAGTGAGAAAATCGAGTGAGAGATAAGAAAAAATCTTTCGAGTGAGATATAGCAAAATCGAAAAACCTATACATCTTTCGAAAGATTTTTACGATCGTATCACACAGATTTTTAATTTTTGGATTAAAATCTGATAGATATAATAAAAAGCAAAAAGCAATTAAGAAACACCATAATGGACACTAAATTACCATATCCTCAAGAAAAAGACCAAATCCAATACAAAATTTAAAATTTACATGCGAAGATTCAAAAATTACAGTGCAACTTACAAAAGTTACAGTGTAAGTTTTATAAATTACACTGTAACTTATAAGAAAATGCACTGTAAATTTGAGTGAGAAAATCGAGTGAGAGATAAGAAAAAATCTTTCGAGTGAGATATAGCAAAATCGATATATTAATGCAGAGCTTTAATTAATTTGTTTTGCATACATATAAATCATATTATCATCAAGTGCGAAGTTTGATAGAGATAGAATTACATGGATGTATCTGCAGAAGCTAAGCAAGTCAGACAAAATTAATATATATGATATACATGTCTGCTGTTTGTAGACATGCATGGCAAAATGTGTAAATTAATTAATATGGCACCCGTGTTCTGTTTTAGTGAAGGATACGAAACAATTTTTATACATCTATCTATCTATGAGAATAAATCCCGTTGGGATTGCTGGAATCTGAGGGGAACCACGTCACGTACACAAGTATATATTATTCGAGCCATTTTATTAAAACAGTGTGGTACACGTGAATGTTTGAATCTACTACATATATGAAATTTGTACTGGGGTAGAATAGAATCATCTCGATTTCTCATGTTTTTTTTCCTCTTCTTTACTCCAGCCATGTGTTTCTATGCAGATCACAAGATTATGACTATGCTAGCGCTAGCTTTGCACGCGAGTTTAATTATATTGTCTGGATTGATATATCTTTTTATTCTACAAGATTTAGCAATAACCTGACTGTATATGCGTGATCAACATGAGGATCGGTATTGCTTGTGAGCATTAGGCCAGCAATAAAGCGATGCACTTTGTATGTAGCGAGACAATTAGGGAAGCATGCAAAAACGATCAAGACAAATGGTAAAGCAATGCAGCTATAGCTAAAGGAATTAAAGTAGCCAAACACGCGATACATCATAACGATAGATGTATCTCGATGCAAGAATACGATGAGCCAGGACAGTAAAGCCTCGATATATCGATCGATTCCAGCTGTGGCACCCACAGAGAAATGAGCCCACGAGAAGATGTATCCATAGATGGCACGCGGAGCATAAGCACTCACAATTGAAAAGATGAAACAGACCATCGGAAACAAACAACGGCAGGAGTTAAAGTAGAGATAGAGTCTTCCCTGACAAGTGGCTTGTGTGCACACGCCTTCCCACTATTTAACCCAACCCTCCGGCCTACATCTTCCTGCATTCATCACAACACCATCCATCCATCTTAATTCGCTTCTACATTGGGGCGCTTGTTAATTTACATGCGAGCTTGTTGAGGTATGTTCAATATATGAGGACTAGCTTAATTATGTTTGCACTATTTAGAAGTTGAGATTTCGGCATTTACAAACTACATCGATTTGCTAAATTTGGTTAATGATTTGCTTATATATGTATTATTGGTTATATATGTCAGGTTGAAGCGATCGAGATCATCGTTGAGAGCTGTAGTACGTGGTGAGCATGGGAGAGCAGCAGCAGCAGGTGGAGCGGCAGCCTGACCTGCCTCCGGGCTTTAGGTTTCACCCAACGGACGAGGAGATCATCACCTTTTACCTTGCACCCAAGGTTGTGGACAGCAGGGGCTTTTGCGTGGCTGCCATTGGAGAGGTGGATCTCAACAAGTGCGAGCCATGGGACTTGCCAGGTAAACATCATATAGTATTAGTTTGAATTGAAAAAAATTATATATATATATAATTAGGGAAATTTATATATATGATATGATGTGAAAAAAAAATGTAGGGAAGGCGAAGATGAACGGGGAGAAGGAGTGGTATTTCTACTGCCAGAAGGATCGGAAGTATCCGACGGGGATGAGGACGAACAGGGCGACGGAGGCGGGATACTGGAAGGCGACGGGGAAGGACAAGGAGATCTTCCGCAACCACCACATGCTCATCGGCATGAAGAAGACGCTCGTCTTCTACAAGGGCAGGGCTCCCAAGGGCGACAAGACCAACTGGGTCATGCACGAGTACAGGCTCGCCGACGCCTCTCCGCCACAGCCGCCGCCGCCGCCATCCTCCGCAGAGCCCCCGAGGCAGGACGACTGGGCCGTGTGCAGGATCTTCCACAAGAGCTCCGGCATCAAGAAGCCGGTGCAGGTGCCCATGCAGATGCCGATGCAGATGCAGATGCCGGTTGCTCATCAGGTGCCCGCCGCCAACTACCAGCAGCAGATGGCCATGGCCTCCGCCAGCATCATCCAAGTCCCCATGCAGATGCAGATGCCCTCCATGTCTGACCAGCTGCAGATGTTGGACGACTTCTCCACCGGTTCACTCATGGCGCCGCCTCCGCCTCCGCCTTCCTACTCCACTCTACCTGGCTTCCCGCTTCAGATCAACGGCGGCGCCCAGCAGTTTGTTGGGAACCCGTCGATGTACTACCAGCAGCAGCAGCAGCAGCAGCAGCAGCAGATGGACATGGCCGCCGGAGGCTTCGTGGTGAGCGAGCCGTCGTCGCTGGTGGTGTCGCCGCAGGATGCTGCCGACCAGAACAACGCCGCCGACATCTCGTCGGTGGCATGCAACATGGACGCTACCATCTGGAAGTACTGATACATACATACATACATACATACATACATAGATACATACATGCATGCGCCGATGCGCGAGTGTGATGACAGAGGGTGGTGGGTTAATTAGCTATACTCCATTTTTATGCATATGCATCATGGCTTTTGCATTGCCTTTGGCTTCTTGTGTGATCGATGTGAGTGAGATTTGCTGAGAGATTATTAGTTATTATAGATTGGCTAGCTATATTATCATATACTGTATGTACTAATAATATGTGTGTACCAGCAATATGTATGTGTGTGAGCGTGCAGCCGTGCACCGTATAGCAAGGTATAGTTACAGGTATATACATACAAGATATATATAGGTATACATGCATGCGTGATAGATAAATGTGTGTACTGCATGTATTTGTGCGTGAGCCCAGCTTGATTGTGTTGTACATAGCTAGCAGTGCATGCCTTCTATCCCTCCGTACGGATTGAATTATGTGAATTAATTATTTTGTTTAATTATAACATGCATGGTGTATGGTGTACTTATTATATACTATGAACTTAATTTTCAGGTGATACGATCGACTAGCTAGTTTTCATATGTACTCTAATTAGGTGTTCTTGCATTAATTCATCATTCATTTATGTAGCTAATATCCATTTTGGTGTGGATATATAGGAACAAAATTAAAACATGCATGGGACCGCATGTCTACGGTCTACCTAACATTCCGCATGATTTGCGTTGCCATCTCAGTTTAAAAAAAATGAACGGTCTGATTCAGTGACACATTATAACAAACATTCACATGTTTGTTCTTCCTCCCTAAAGGGTTTGGATTCTTATTACATATGTCCAACTTAAAAAATAAAAAACAGACAAAACAGATACTTGATAGGCACCGTGAGAGACCCCTCCATGTTGCCTCTCGTGTGTGGGACTCGGAGGGGAAGGCGAAACACAAAACCTTAAGCCCAGCCCTCCCTCCCTCATCCTCCGCCTCACCACCACCGAAGCGACACATCTCGGACTTGGGCAGAGGGTGGTGCAATGATGATAGTGTCATGACAAATCATGAACAAAGCCAGCACGGTGAGGAGGCAACACCTGCGCGAGGGCAGCAATGTGGAGGCCATGCTCCACCAAGTCCAGGAGGTCAACAACGGCTAAACATTCTAGGAGGCCGCATCTGATGCTCTTGGCATGTGGGCGATAGTGAGATGGCGGTGGTGCGAGGATCACGTCGTCACGAGGAGAAGTGACGGTGCTAGCTAGGCGGGAGCGGCGGGAGGCGGTCAGGTAGCAGTGAGCGGCGGTGACAGCGTACGTGACGGACCTCGAGGGCTGATGACGGAGAGTAGGGGAGTGGCTAGGCGGCGGCGGCGACATGACAGACCTCGAGGGCTAATGATGGAGAGTAGGGGAGTTGCTAGGCGGCGGTGGCGGTTTATCTTCCTTTTTGTTGGATGCGCATCCTCCTTCTCCATCACTACACCATGACACAAAATCCCCAACAGAGGATCGGTAGGTGAAGGCCACATTTAGAGACCAACCATCAGTCGGTAAATGTTTTCCCGACCAACTTGCACAGTCGGAATAAGTCTGGTTGGCAAAGAGATTTCCCGACCAACATATTTTTACCGACCGACTATCAGACGGTGGTTGGTTAGATTTGCCGACCGACCTTATTTATACCGACCAACATATTTATCCCCACCCACAACAATTCCCGACCGACTATTTGCCGCAGATATGAGAATTGCTGACCCACTGTCAGTCGAACATCACAATTCCAGTTTCATATTAATGTATCCATATCAAATTATATACTTGTTCATCACAATTAGAAATGACAAACCAATATTCTCACCAAATTAGTCTCCATAGATTCATTATATTGGACTGAAGACAACACTTCAAATCAAAATAGTGACTAACTTTAATTCATTCACAGATTAATTCAAGCATACATGCATGCAGTACGCATGTGGCATAGATACAACAGGTGTCCAAAAGATTTACATTTCATCCAAGTTCCACCATATCTATCCTGAAGCAAACTCCATTACATGCAGTATGTTGGCATTTCCCAACAAGTTCGCCTCTGTAGCAAACTCCATTACAAAAGGATGACCTTGTCTTGCCCCCAAAACAAGGTCATCCTCCATAGCTTGTTGTCAACATAAGACAAGGTCCACCTCTATGTCCTTCCAGAACCTCCACCTACAGAAAAAGGTATTATGTTCCAGTTAAACAAATTACTTTTAAGAAAATGTAGTTAACTAAAAAATTACAAAACATGCTAGTACTGTTGTTGCCTCCCATCACTTGGGCAAAATACATGCCTCCAGTAACCTGTACTTTCTACATTTTCCAAATGATATATTTTAGACCACCTAACATGTCAACCTGAATCATGAAGTAGTAATACTCAACAATCACTAAGTTCAAGGATATTAAAGAACTAGGAATACTACTTTTATAACTCCCCTTATCTCACCATATAAATTTACATGATAAATCCTTCAGGTTTCTTTCAGCTGAACCATAGGCAGTATGTATACTAATTGTTACCAGCATAAACAAGGCCAGTTCAGATTGAAACAAAAGCATGGAGTCCATATACAAGGCTTTTTCTAATTCAAATGAACTTTCTGATCAGATTGTTATATTGAATTGACAGGTTAAGTAACTTCTAACTTTGAGGGCTACATCAATATGTTGCAGCAGGATATTGTTGGAGTGAACTTGAACATATCATAATTTAGTGCATGGTAGTAAAGTTCACATCTAAATACGTCGCAGAGAGAACTCAACACTAGAATATTCAATATTTAGAATTCAGCGGTTCTATAAATCATATTTTAGTGCAAGAAAAAAAGTAAAGTTTATATGTAAAATACCTCCGCATTGGGAGATACCTGGCCTCTTGTTTGCCCTGATCTGTCAATATTAGCATTAGTTAGTATCTTAAGGTGATACATGAGAACCAAAACAACAAAAATATACTGCAGTTCTTACTTTGTTATTTGGCCATGCAATAGACAGCATTTACGCATCAGCCATAGTTTTAATACGAAATGGACAAGGAAGCACGGTGTCCCTCTTTAACACCACATTCACAACCACCTCATAGTATTGGACTCCAAGAGCTTGACCTCCCACTGTTGTTATTGGGTTCGTTGAGACAATTGTTGCCTTGGCTACTGGGACATCATTTCTTGTGACAGCATAGAGTATAACATCCTTGCCAACCTAAAACACAGTATAGTTCAGAAAAGGGAATATAACACAAGTAATTATATACCTAAGATAAGCATAGAGAAGGATGTAGACATTACAAGGCTTTCATCTTCATTGCAAGAGGTTGTGCGGCCTCTTGGAGTGACAGAAACACATCGTGAAGTTCCCCTTTGTACAACTCTTCTGTGCACAATGTTTTCATTGTAATTGAAAAGCACTTCTTGCAAATGAGCACAGTCAGCCTCAATATCACTATCATGACTCCCAATAGCAAGTTCTTGTTCTTCACATGGTGGGCTCTACAAACAGCCAAAGTCCTGCGTGAGAGCAATTAGAAAGGGAGCCAATGATAGCTATCAAATGCAGATGCTAGATAGCCTGTTGAAATAAGTTAAGGTGCTCATCCTCTTCAGCCAATTCAAACTACCAATAGGGTAAATACCTTCCCTGTCTAGATAAACCTTGCAAGGAGAGAGACAATTATTAAAAAGTACCAAAAAAATACAACTACAACTGCATATCAAAGAAGTTGTTATATGTTACATATTGCATAATATAACCAAATTCACAACGTCGCTGCAAGATTTTATTTAATATTGTTCTGCCAGCATGCACATATAGTCATTTCACACATGGCTCTATTTCACAAAAGAACATCACAGCATACACAGATCGCCATTCCACACAGGACTCTATTTGGACAAACAGCCATCACAGCAAAATTGAGAAATTGAACACTAACTTACAATTCTTGATGTCTTCCTTTCAAATGATGTTGTCTTGCTGCATGCGAACACCCGTGGTCTTCAATCATTCAATACCCATATAACTGTACATTGTTCCATGCAAAAGAAATTAGTAAATAGTTTGTTTTTTTCCCTCCTGCTACCACATTATACATAACTATACTATAATAGAGAAAAGCACCAAACAATTTTACCTTGCTTAGAGGCTCTTGAACACTTCCCTGATTTTTTAGGAAGGGATTGGGGGTGAAGGGGTAAGGGGAGGCTGAGCTCGAGGAAGCAGCGGAGGTGTGGGGTGGTGGAGGTGGAGGTGGGGGTGGCGGAGGTGGGGGACTGGGGGCTAGGGTGGCTGGTGCGGGTGGCGGAGGAAGGGGCTAGGGCGGCTGTGAAGGTGGACGTGGGGGCTAGGGCGACTGGTGATGGCGTATTGAGGTGGAGTCGGCGCCGGCGCTGCGAAGCGGAGAGGCGGCGGCGGTGGCACGAAGAAGGGCGGCGCAGCGTGGGGAGGAAGAGGCGGCACCTGGGGCAGCGCCGTGGGGAGGAAGCGTCGGTGGCGCCTGGAGGCAGCACCGCCGGGAGGAAGCGGCGGCGGCGCCGGAGGCGCTTGGCCTCCGCGCGCGATGGAGTGGCGGAGGGGACACAGGCGATGGATCAAAGGGATAGATAGGGTTTGGTGCAAATAATGCCGAAAAAAATTAATGCCGCAAAATTTTCCACCGCAACCGCGCGCGCGTGCCGGCCAAGCAGAGGCGAAAATTTTGGCTCCCTAAATTCCTCCACCGGCTATTAGCCTATTACCGACCGACGAGATATCGTTATATTTTTATCGACCGACTGTCTCTTTTTATAAAGTTTATTATTACCAACCGACAGTTTATCAGTAAAAAGTTACATAATTACCGACCGACAGTTCGCTAATAAAATTAGAATTCCCAACTGTCCGTTCGTCGAAAAGTTATACCGACCGACCGTTAATCGGTATACATGCATCTTTCCCAACCAAAGTCAGACGGGAATTTTAGGACATGGTGTAGTGCATGGAGCTCCTCACCTTTTTATAGCCAGTCTGCTTCTAGATTTGATTATGGGAAGCTCCAGTGTGAGGGTGGAGGCAGTGGCTTGCACATGAAGGGATGGCGATGAACAAGAGCAACCCTATGAACCCATGCTGGACGTTGGATGTACAGTGTGGTGGTCGGTAACAGTCATGCTCCTTGTGTGGATTAGTTGTGTGGGACTGAATGAGAAAACGCGGGTGAAAGCCTTGATGGGCCATTGGCTGGCTTAATAGCGCCGCTATTGGAGCATTGGCTAGCTTAAGGACGACAACTCTGAAGCATGTGTGCATGTTGCTAGACGTGCACCAAGCATCCACAGCAAAGGCCTCCGGGCTACGGTGCGTCTTCATTGTCTAGTAACTCATTTTTGCTATTCACATCCAAGGGGGCACCGGTGGAGAAATATTCTTTACTCCCGGTTTAGAACCCTTTGTAGTCCCGGTTTTCCTACCGGAACTACGAATCCGGGACTAAAGATCGTTATCTTTAGTCCTGGTTCAAATAACCCGGACTAAAGATCGATCTTTAGTCCCGGTTGGTGTTGGGAAGCGACAGTTCACGACAGTTCCTCGAGATTTTTTTTATTTTATTTTGTTGTTGATTTTGCTAATGGCTAGTGTTAATCTATATATTTTCTCCCGAATCTAATGGGATGCACATCCCCAAATCAACATCCCAAATATTAAAGTTACTTATACACACAAATCAAATACATCACAAATCCTACACACAGATCAACTATATCACAAATCCTAAAAAACTACACACAAATTAAATACATCACAGATTATACAAATTATACATCTTAGATCCATGCGATGCAATGAATCAAAAAATCTAAAAAATTATACATCCACAAATTATTAAAAAAAATGAGCCGGCGCCCGGCCGCGGCCGCCGCTGGCGCACGTCGGCCGCCTGCCCACGCGCGGCCGCGCCACGCCGCCGCCCGCCTCCCCGCGCGCCGCCGCCCGCCTCCACGCACGCGGCCGAGCCGCCCGCCTCCCCACGCCAACCGCCCGCCTCCCCACGCGCTGCCGCCGCCGGCCGCCGGCCGGCTGATGGAAGACGGAGTAGAGGGGAGGAGGAGGAAGGAGAGGGGAGGAGAAGAGGAAGGGGAGGAGGGAAGGAAGAGAGGGGAGGGGAGGAGGAAGAGCATTGGATCTGAGAAGAGGAAGAGAGGGGAGGGGAGGAGGAAGAGCATTGGATCTGAGAAGAGGAAGAGAGGGGATGTTCCAATCTTATCTAAATATCTGTCTGGGACTTAACCGATCGGATGTGGGAGAGAAATATTTACTCCCGGTTGATAACTCCAACCGGGATTAAAGATCGATCTTTAATCCCGGTTGGTATTACCAACCGGGAGTATAGATCCGGGAGTATAGATCAATCGATCTTTAATCCCGGTTGGTACCACCAACCGGGACTAAAGTGGTAACCGGGACTAAAGATCCTCGACCCCCTGACATACATCTGACAGGGGATGAACCGGGACTAAAAATCATCTTTAGTCCTGGCCGGTTAGTGTTACCAACCGGGACTAAAGATCAAAATTTTTTAAACCGGGACTAAAAATCGTTTTTAGTCCCGGTTTTTAATGGAACCGGGACTATTGTAAAATTTGGTCGACCGATTAAAGATGGTTTCTCCATCAGTGGGGGTGGATAATGTGGATATTCGGGTATCTCACCATCGCACTGAATAAGGCTATGGGTCGGTGCAAAAGACATCGACACCGTGGCTTTGGACCTCAACGCCAACTATTCTGGCCTAAGGCAGGGTCCAAATCTAGAATATGTTTTTTTAAAATGGGGGTCTAATTGTGAAACAAAGTTTTTATAAAGGGCTACAATATAAAAGATCTAGTAAAATCCAAGCCCCTTGAATCTAATATAAAAGAAACATACTCTCTATCGAGATGGTAGTTAATTGCTAAAAGGGGTGAATTCAACATTGGTGCTAAAGGGGGGCATTGAGAGAAGGAGGAGAGGGAAGAGGACTAAAAGTAGGGGTGCTGAAAGAGAAAGAAGGAGATGAGCCCCCCCTCCTCCTCTGATTGCTTCGTAGATCCACCCTCGGTTCAACCTCGGTAGAGGAAACCTGAACATGTGTAAATTGAGAGAATCCTAACAGTTGGTCCGAATCATTGAACAGATTGAACCGATAAAAAAGACTAGGATGGGAAAAAAAACATTCAACGGAATTCTAGCAATTCCTGCATGGTTCACTACTATCATCTTGATTGATAGATGGTCCAACTCCATCAAACTATCCAAGTGTCACGAACCCACGATATGCCGGTGTCACGCCAAGCTAGATTGGGAGCTTGAGAGAAGAAATCAAGAGTTTAGGGGTGGAAGAACAGGAAAAAAACTCGAGAGGAAGAAGCAGTAGAGAGACGAGTTTGGGGATAGTTTGATAGTTCATAATGCTCATTCGATGTCCTTTATCACATCCCTGGAAGTCTTATATAATTACTCTCCTTTGAGCCCACCTAACAAAAGTACTCACTCAACACAGACGGATCTATCGTCAAGGGCTGGGGTTTCCTGGACTAAATAAATGGTTAACTGCAGAAGCCCATAATCCAGAGTCCACACCCCTTAGATAAACAACTACTGATGTTTATCTCTGAGTCAATGATCATGATCGCATCAAACCAACTAACTAATTTAATAGTAACACTTTCAAGCCATTAGGGGTAGCAACAGGGGGCTGGGTTGGGTTGGAAACTTGGAATGCCCCTGCCCCTGGCCCCGGAATGGAAGTCGGGTGAAAAACATCACCCATCCCCGCCTCCACAGGGGACCCGGCGGGTGACCGGGGCCCCGCATTACCTGGATGGAGTTAACGCTCCATAAAAATATTGCAATACATTGAATAATAGTATGATAAAATTTCAATAGCCCCCGACAGTGTGGATTGGTTGATGGAACGAAAAAGATTACAGTTGAGGGGAACTAAGGCGTTGAGTTTTTATATGTCAATTTTGAATGAGATTGTTGGGTCTATATTATTGCAATGGGTAGCTTTTTAGAAAAGTAACTCACATCAAGAGCCCCTCCAGGTCACCAGCAAGTTAATTCCGATCCCTGCCCCATCCCCGAAATTTTGCAGGGCCTTGTCCCCACTCACACGTGGGTGAGAATTCTCCCCCGCCCGTCCCTGACCCCAACAGGGAAATTGCCACCCCTACAAGCCATGTTGCAAGATGGACGATCTATGTACAGTGACAAATTGAGCTAGGCCCCTGGGAAAGACTTGGGGATCAGGAGGGAAAGACAGCGTAATGAATTCAAAATAAAAGCTCATTTTGTTCACTCTATTTTACCTTCCTTTTTTTTAGATGAACCACATTTGCCTTCAGACAGCCATATTCCTACAAAATGTACATTCCAGCATAATCAAAGGGAGAACCTAAAACCACATTTTTCCTTTGCCTATAATAAGATCTTTGCCGATAAAACATCCTACTACAGGCGGCCAAAATTTTTACTGAGCTGTGCACCGCTCATAACTGTTACAAATACAATTGAGGGAACGGCAATATCTTTCTATCTCCTGAAATGTAAATTGACAACAGTTGGCTGCATATATGTCTGCTGAATAGAAAGTGCGAGAGGGAAAAATGGGTGAAACAAGAAGGAAGAAATTCTTTTTGCCCTGCTGTCAGAAGCACCAGAATCTGAACCTGAAAAGTTTAAACCAAGGATATTTTGATTTACATGACCAACAAAAAATAGATCAAACTCGAAAGTTACTTATTCTACACTCAGCCATATAGTACGCCTATATGTTACACAACATGTTAACCATTATTTTGGTTTATTCATATGATGTGGCCTTCGTAATGTAATATTACACAATGTCCTTGATAATTATATGAAGATACAAGCAAGAACTTCAGAATCTAGATGATAATTGCTAACGATGATGATCTAGTAAGAAATACCTGGTTTTATCTTGAATTTGACAACATTTGGCTGCTTCACTGATATGAATTTTATTGGATGCTCTGTACAGTGTCAGTGCCTATCAATCGCTGAAATCAGCTGAAAACGAGGGACAAGGAAATGTCAAGAACTAAATAACAATAAGAAAAAAAAAAACTGCCATTTATTCATAGGAGTGGATCAAAGGGACCTACGAAAGTGGGTAGATGATTTTCTTACCCTTCAGTTATGCCCACACGGAAAAGAACAACCATAATTCATGCGAGTTGTAGTTTTTATTTAGCAAGGTCAAAAGGGGGAGAAAATAGACAAAAGCGCCTCGCGTGGCTTATATTTAGAGAAGATTGTGTCACATATTTGTTAGTCAAGGTAGCATCTTCTATGTGTTTGAAGTTTGAACTTGACTGTAAACTGTGAAATTTTGAAAATATCAACTGCTTTCTGATGTATAGTTATTTCAAACAAGTTGAAGAGTGTACCTTATCATACCGAAACAATGATAGGTCAAAGTATGGTGAAGGACTTTGTGATTGACAAGTGTAAGGTAGTGACGCCATCATCTTTTTAACAAACTGCTAAATATAGAGCAGGCATTTACCAAAAGTCAGCATCACAAATTAGTTAGCATATGCCTTATGCCATATATAAATAGTA